CAGGCCCCACTGCAGCTTTGGGAGGAGACTTTCTCCCCCTCTATCTCGCAGGCAGGCTGGGAAGATTAAAGGGGAGGGCAGAGGAGCACGGGGGAATGGAATGGAACAATTATTTCCTGGCCCTGGGCCAGAGGCGGCTGGTTGGACCTGCTGGAGGAAGCGGTTGCTGTCTGCACGTGGGAGCAGGAGTGGAGGGAGGCGGGCAAGGAAGGCCTGGTTCTCACGGCCTAGTCTGAATGTGCATATGCCAAGCGCTGCTCTTCACAAGTGGCATTTCCTTTCATCCCCAGAATGATACTGCGAGGGAATCACAGCTAATGCTTACCCTATGTCAAGCGTCTCTCCAAGCTTAGAACGCTTTGATTCATTTAATCTTCAAAGAAACACACCAGGTAGAGCCTAAGGTCAAGCCCACTTTGCATATGAAAGCACTGAAGCACACCAAAAAGTAACTTGCCCAAGGTCACCGGCAGATTAAGATTTGGACCAGGTCCCCTGGCTCATGCCCATGAGTTTAACAGACTGGCTGCCCTGCTAGGAGAGCTGGAGGACTTTTCTTTCAGAGGAGGGGTGAGGCCATCATCAGTGGGGTTTGATCTCCTGGGAACGCCCGTGGCATTGACTTTTATTTATTTATTGAGATGGCTGGAGTCCAGTGGCACGATCTTGTCTCACTGCAACCTCCACCTCCCGGGTTCAAGTGATTCTCCTCCCTCAGACTCCCGAGTAGCTGGGATTACAGGTGCCTGCCACCACATCTAGCGAATTTTTGTTTTCTCTCTCTTTTTTTTTCTTTTTTTTTGAGATGGAGTCTATCTGTGTTGCCCAGGCTGGAGTGCAATGGTGCAATCTTGACTCACTGCAACCTCTGCCTCCTGGGTTCAAGCAATTCTCCTGCCTCAGCCTCCTGAGTAGCTGGGACTACAGGCGCATGCCACCACACCTGGGTAATTTTTGTATTTTTAGTAGAGACAGGGTTTTACCATGCTGACAGGCTGGTCTTGAACTCCTGGCCTCAAGTGATCTGCCCACTTCGGCCTCCCAGAGCTCTGGGATTACAGGCATGAGCCACTTCACTGTGGCACTGACTTTTTTTTTTTTTTTTAGAGACAGGGTCTTTGTTGCCCAGGTTGGAGTGTGGCAGCACAGTCACAGCTTACTGCAGCCTCCAACTCCTGGACTCAAGTGATCCTCTCGCCTCAGCCTCCCAAGTAGCTAGGGCTACAAGTGTGTGCCAACACGCCCAGCTAATTTTTGTATTTTTTGTAGAGATAGGGGTCTCACTATGTTGCCCAAACTGGTCTCAAACTCCTGGCCTCAAGAGACCCTCCTGCCCTTGGCCTCCCAAAATGCTGAAATTACAGGTGTGAGCCACCATGTAATCTTGCATTATGATTTATTCAGTGGCACCTCCTAGACTGATGGGCACCCTCGCCACTGCTCCCCACCAACCCCCACCCGGAAACATCGAGACCACGGGGAAAGGCTCTGGCGGCAGACTCTTGCCCAGAACTGGGCAGAGAGTAGCTGACTGCTTCCACCCACTGGGGGATCTTATTCTTGTTCTGGGTATTTTTGTCTGGAATTACACACCCAGTCTCCATCCCTCCCAGAAGTGGCATCAGCCCGCTTCCTGGAACAGCACACGAAGGGCCTCAATGCCAGGCTCCCTGTCTTCTCCTGGGGCAGTGAGAAAAGGAGACAGGAGTTGGACCTAACAGGCTCCACTGTGTCTCTGGGGTTCTGTGTACCCATCTGTATAAACAAAGAGCTGCAGGAATGTTCTCTGGGGACCCCCTTGGCACCTGGATTCCAGGATTCTGTGCCTGGGAGGACTCCATTCAGCAAACAATCATGATTTATGCTTCATAGACACACCTGTCCTCTAAGCACCTAATAATGATTCGTATTGGCCATAATTACAGCAGCTACCATTTCCTTCCTTCCTTCCTTCCTAGCAGCTACCATTTTCTTCCTTCCTTCCTTCCTTCCTTCCTTCCTTCCTTTCTTCCTTCCTTCCTTCCTTCCTTCTTTCCTTCCTTCCCTCCCTCCGTCTCTCCCTCCTTCCTTCCTTCCTGATGGAGTCTTGCTCTGTCACCTAGGCTAGAGTGCAGTGGCACAATCTTGGCTCACTGCAGCCTCCGCCTCCCAGGTTCAAGCAATTCTCCTGCCTCAGTCTCCCGGGTAGCTGGGACTACAGGTGCACACTGTCACGCCAGGCTAATTTTTGTATTTTTAGTACAGATGAAGTTTCACCATGTTGGCCAGGATGGTCTCGATCTCCTGACCTCGTGATCCTCCCGCCTCAGCCTTCCAAAATGCTGGGATTACTGGCGTGAGCCACTGCACCTGGCCGCAGCTACCATTTTCTAAGCCTTAACTAAGTGCTAGGTGCTGTGCTGAGTGCATTTCATGGATTCTCTCACTGAATTTGCTGGGTGGCTCTAAGAGGCAGGTACACTCATCTCTGCTTTACTGATGAAGAAACTTGAAACTGAGCTCAGAGAGGCTGGGCAACTTGCCTCCGTTCACACTTTTAGGAAGTAACAGATGCAGGATTTCCACCCCCTCAGCTTCCTCTTCTGCAAAATGGGAGGAAATTGTACCATCACCTCTTGCTGCTGGGAGAGTGAGAGTTGATCAGGTGCATCAAGCATTTGGCCATAGCAGGCCTTGATAAACTGTGCCCCTGTACCCTCCTTCCCGTGTCCCCACTTCCTGTCCTATTTGTCCCTGATACCAACCAGTCCAGCCTGTCATAATCGACAACCACAGTGTGATTCCCAGGCTGGGCCCCAGACAGCCTCTCAGTTCGGTGGATGATCCCTGTCTCTGGTGGCCTGTCTTGAGGATGACAGCTAGTGGCAGCCTGGGGATGGCAGTGTGCTCAGATGACTCGTGAGGCTGCTGACCAGCAGACAGGCAGTGACAGGTTGAGCAGCTGGCGTCACCCGAGGCTGATGAGACACCCAGGGGAGCCCTGGCCTGCATTCCACCCTCAAGTCCAGACCCTTCTCTAACATTTGGGGGCCTCGTGGACCAGGGCGGGAGCACCAATGCGGGTCGACACCTCACATGCCTAAATATCTAAGTTACAAACCAAACTAACAAACTCCTAAATATACATTCTGTCTTCTAATAGACTTAATGGTCTGCAAGGCCAGGCTGTGAATTTCAATTCCTCTGACTTCTTGGAGTTCTGAGCCAGAAGGTAGTAGCATGTTTCAGCATATGGGAGAGCCAGCCCCAGCTAGCATTCCCGTTTCTGGCTGGGGTCTCATACACAGGTCTGGATCCTAGAACACATGTGTAAGCTACGTCCACACCCGCCCCTCCTTCCAAGCAGCTGGCCCTGTCTATGGGTGGAGATACACACACTGGCAGCACAGGCTGTCCTCTGGAGAAACCCCGGCAGGCCCTGAGAGGGGGCTTGGGGCTGACTGGATGGGGGACTCTGGGTCCTGAGGATCTGGGGTGGAGCCTAGGGTGGGAGCGCAGGCATAGGTTTCCAGTGAGCATGTCCCGCTGATCTTGTGGACTCCCTGCCCTGGGGCAAGGGGCGTGGCCAGAGGAGGGCCACAGAAGGCTCCCTAATGCCTCCAGCACCGCCCAGGTTCCCTGTAGTGGGGCTGTGGTGTCTGTTGTGAGCAAACTCGTAAATCAACACTGGAGACACATTCCCACAGGAGGGTCTCAGGCCACACAGGTGCCTGGACTCCAGGGGTAGCCCAGGGGTAGCCCAGGGGTTTGGAGAGCTTGGGATCAGGAAATCCAGGTTCAAGTCCTAGCTCTGCTATGTGCTGGCTGTGACTGTGGCCCAGCAAATTCCCCTCTTGGGTCCCATTTGCTCATCTGTAAAACAGGGATGACAGTTTCTGCCTAGCAGGGTTGTAGGAAGGAGCAAATGAGTGCAGTAAGATCTGTGAAATGTTCGTACCTTGCTTGCACAGGCAACTCCACCCTGGCCACTGCTGCTAAACCCGCTCCAGAACACTCAGATTTTTTTTTTTTTTTTGAGATGGAGTTTTGCTCTTGTTGCCCAGGCTGGAGTGCAATGGTGCAATCTTGGCTCGCCGCAACCTCTGCCTCCTGGGTTCAAGCAATTCTCATGCCTCAGCCTCCTGAGTAGCTGGGATTACAGACATGTGCCACCACACCCGGCTAATTTTGTATTTTTTTTTTTTTAGTAGAGACGGGGTTTCTCCATGTGGGTCAGGCTAGTCTCAAACTCCTGATCTCAGGTGATCTGCCCACCTTGGGCTCCCAACGTGCTGGGATTACAGGCGTGAGGCATCGCACCTGGTAACATTCAGATCTTTTCAATCTTCTTTTCCTGTATAACGCTCACCATCTGTGTCCCGACATGATCACTGATAGCATTTGAGTCCACATGGGCAGGGACATTGCCTCCCATACTACTGTATCCCCAGCACCTCCCTAGTGCAGAATAAGCACACAGTGGCCGGGCGTGGTGGCTCGCGCCTGTAATCCCAGCACTTTGGGAAGCTGAGGCCAGTGGACCACCTGAGGTCAGGAGTTTGAGACCAACCTGGCCAACACGGCAAAACCCTGTCTCCACTAAAAATATAAAAATTAGCCAGGGGTGGTGGCATGCACCTATAATCCAAGCTACTTGGGAGGCTGAGGCAGGAGAGTCACTTGAACCTGGGAGACAGAGGTTGCAGTTAGCCAAGATAGTGCCACTGCACTCCAGCCTTGTGACAGAGTGAGACTCTGACTCCAAAAAAAAAAAAAAAAAAAAAGCATCCAGTGAATATCTGACTGCCTGGATAAACTATGAAACTTTGTGATTTGTGATTATTCACCCGGGCCTTCCATCTGCTCTTGGGGTTCATTCAAGCATCACACATTCACTGAGTTCCTTCTGAGGACCACACTCCATGTCCACACTCAATGGACACTTCTAGGCCTCAAGGAGCTCCCAGTCTAGGGAGAGGGATTTGATGTGGAAATACAGCAGAATTACAACAGCATAGTACCTGCTGTGATGGAGGCAGGGGGCAAGGTGTCAGGGCCCAGAGGAAGAAGTCAGTGTGGTGAGGATGCGCGAGTACAGAGATGCTCCCAGGAGGAAATGATGGTTTAGCAGGCCTAGGAGATAAAGAAGGAAAGAGCTTCCAGAGAGGCAGGCACAGCAAATGGCAAAGGCTCTGAGGTGCGAAACAACCCAGGGTGTTTAGGTCCATGTGACCTGAGTTTAGGGACACGGAAGTGGTGAGTTTAGCAGGCAAGCCTGGGCAGGCTTTCAGTGTCTCTCTGGTCTAGATGAATAATTCTCATTGTGTGGTCCCTGGACTAGCAGCATCCGCATCATGTTGGAACTTGTTAGAGATGCACATTCTTGGCCCCCATCCCAGACCTCCTAAATCAGAAACTCTGGGGGTGAAGCCTGGAACTCCATATATATATATATATATATATATATATATATTTTTTTTTTTTTTTTTTTTTTTTTTTTTTTTTTTGAGACGGAGTCTCGCTCTGTTGCCAGGCTGGAGTGCAGTGGTGCAGTCTCGGCTCACTGCAACATCCGACTCCTGGATTCAAGCGATTCTCCTGCCTCAGCCTCCCAAGTAGCTGGGACTACAGGCATGCGCCACCAAGCCCAGCTAATTTTTGTATTTTTAGTAGAGACAGGGTTTCACCATGTTGGCCAAGATGGTTTCAATCTCTTGACCTCATGATCCACCCACCTCGGCCTCCCAAAGTGCTGGGATTATAGGCATGAGCCACCACTCCCGGCCTGGAAATCCATATTTCAACAAACCCTCCAAGTGCTTCTGATGCCCGCTAAAGTTTGAGAAACACAGCTTTAGACTTTATCGTGAAGGCAATGAGGGCCCGGGGTAGGCTTTAAACAGAGGCAAGGCAGTATCAGAACCGCTCTTTTTTTTGTTTTTTTGTTTTTGAGACAGAGTCTCTCTCTGTCACCCAGACTGGAGTGCAGTGGTGCGATCTTGGCTCACTGCAACTTCTCCCTCCCGGGTTCAAGCGATCCTCCTGCCTCAGCCTCCTGAGAAGCTGGAATTACAGGCACCCACCACCACGCCTGGCTAATTTTTGTATTTTTAGTAGAGATAGGGTTTCGCCATATTGGCCAGACTATAGGTGATCCACCCGCCTCGGCCTCCCAAAGTGTTGGGATTACAGGCGTCAGCCACTGTGCCTGGCAGAACTGCACTTTATTAAGATCGCTTGCACAGGCTGGGTCCAGGGCAGTCTGGTGAGGGGCTGGTAAAAACCCACATCAGAAAGCTGGCCTGACATGGAGCCTCCCTCCAGCTGGACAAAGCTGCTGCGGTTGCAGAACAATGTATCTTCACACGTGAAAGGGAAGTGGCTACTGGGAAGTCAGGGACCCCTGCTGGGCACAGGGCCTGTTGCCAGGGTGACCACCTGTCACTCAGATAAAGGGGGCACAGTCCTACAGAGGTTCAAGTTGGGGAGCTGGTTGTCATGGCAACCTCCCCTCAGGTAGGGAAAGAAGGAAGCCTGGATGTCCCCAGGTACCTCACCCCCATTCCCTGGAGGGACCACCATTGATCCCAACCCTTAAGTTCCTCCCTGACCCCATCTAGCCCATCCTCCCCTCCTCTGTCCATTTGGGCCCCAGGAGGCAGTTTCTTCCCCTTCCCATCATGAAGCTACACCCTCCTTGTCACAGCCTAAGGGCTGGGGGGGCTGTTTCCTTGGCTACAGCCCAGGCTTCTGCATCCACGGGGACCTTCACTCAAGAGGCCAGAGACTGTCATCTGCCAGACCTTCACTTTCCTTTGCCAAGGCAGGGTATGGACCCATCTGGGGGTGGTAACCCGTCACCAGTGGTGGGGCTCTCCCATTCTTTCTTCAGCTGGTGCAGGGTGAGAGGAAGAGGAAGAGGAGGACTCAATGTATCCCCTTCAACCAGGAGATGGATGCAGAGGACCATATTAAACAGCTTTTCAAGGCTCCCCAATAAGGAAGCTCAGAACAACTGAGGCCCAAACTGAAGCTCAGGAGAGGGGCAAGGAGGAGAGAGCAAACTGCACCCTCAAACCTGGTAGAGTGCAAAGTTCAAGGAGTCTGGAATCCAAAAGGCCTGGGTTACAGTCCTGAACTAATACTGTGTGATGTTGGGCAGGTTCTGTCACTCCCTGAGCCTCAGTTTCCTCATCTGTACATGGGAGGTAGTATCCATGTAATAGTATCTACCTCTAAGGGTTACTGCAGGACCAACTGAGGAAATGCATCTGAAGTGAGACGCATAGTGTCTGGCACCTCCCTGTGTCTTGTCCTCCTTTCCTCAGGGAGGGAGGAACACCTGCTCTCAGGCGGCTACTTCTTGATGCTGGGACACTTGCTGGGGAAAAGCAGTGGCTCTGGAATCAGAAATGCTCCATAAACAGCCAGGCATGGTGGCTAATGCCTGTAATCCCAGCACTTTGGGAGGCCACGGCGGACGGATCACCTGAGGTCAGGAGTTCAAGACCTGCCTGGCCAACATGGCAAAATCCCATCTCTACTAAAATACAAATATTAGCTGGGCATGGTGACGGGTGCTTCTAATCCCAACTGCTCGGGAGGCTGAGGTTGCCATGAACTGAGATTGCTCCACTACACTCAAGCCTGGGAGACGGAGCAAGACATTTCAAAAAAAAGAAATGCTCCATAAACATTTGACTGCTGGTACTTTTTTTTTTTTGAGACGGAGTCTCCCTCTGTTGCCCAGGCTGGATGGAGTGCAGTGGTGCGATCTCAGCTCACTGCAAGCTCCACCTCCTGGGTTCACGCCATTCTCCTGCCTCAGCCTCCCGAGTAGCTGGGACTACAGGTGCCCGCCATCACACCTGGCTAATTTTTCGTATTTTTAGTAGAGACGGGGTTTCACCATGTTAGACAGGATGGTCTCGATCTCCTGACCTCGTGATCCGCCTGCCTCAGCCTCCCAAAGTGCTGGGATTACAGGCGTGAGCCACCATGCCCGGCCGACTGCTGGTACTGTTATTATTACTATTAATCACCTGGCAGTGAACGGAACCCTGCCTGGTAAATTGCTTCCTCCAGGTAATTTGCATTTCCCATTGTCCTTGTAGTCTTAATTCACTACAATCTGCTGAACGAATGTTTTCTAGAAAGCAGGAGCCATGTTGTACTTTTTAGTTTTCTTGCAATGCCTGTCCCGGTCCCTGGCAGGGAGCACCCAAGAAGCTCAGCAAGGAAGGGACTTGGAGATCATCTACTCTAACTCAGTATGCAAGACAGACAGCTCTTCTCCCTAGCCTTATCAATTGCTTGAATGCCTCTAGGGATGAGGCATCTTCCTGTAGAGCGGTTTCCAGTGTCCAGGACTCTGGGGAGGCTGAGCTCCACAGGGTAAGTAGGAGCTGAATGGGCAGCTACAGAGGTTGGGGACTTCCCCCGATGCCCCAGCAGCCTCCCTTCCCTCCCTCTGAGAGCCGATGATAGGAGTGGTTCTAATTACGCTCTAATTGCTTTCTTCCAGGCAGTTTCTCTGTAGCCAAGGAGTTCAGAGTTCATGAATAAATGAAGAGAGAGGAAGCGGGAAGGGATGTTTATTGATCCACAAATCTCTACGTGCCAGTGTCCACCCCCACAAATGCTGGGGCATGCAGCAGCGTGCAGTTTCAAACACAGATGCTCCTTGACTTGCGATAGGGCCACGTCCCAATCAACCCATCCTAAATCGAAAATGCATTCCACACCCCAATAAACCCATTGTAAGTCAAAAAACTATGTTGAACCACTGTAAGTTGGGGACCAGCTAGCTGTACATACAAACACAGAAACATACCACAGCCCCCAAAGGTCCCTCTCCAACAGACTGGTGGGGGATAAAAGGAAGTTAACAAGAAGTTTCCTAATAGATGAAGCAACTTGGGGCTCATGAAGCGTAAGTGCCCTGCCCAGGGCCTCGGAGCCAGTGAGTGGCAGCGAAGGCACCTGGATCCAGAGCCCTTGCTCTTCCCCACCCGGTGTCCCACCAGCATGGAGGTGACAGTCACACAAATGTGGGTTCCTCCTGCCTCTTCCCTAGTGCCTCCTCTCTTGGAGGGTGGCCAGCTTTTCTTGGAGGATGAGGCATTTGGATGGAGGGGCAACCTGAGGGGGGCAGTGCCCACCTGATAAGGGTAGAGTTGAGAGTGGGACCCGAAGCCAGCAGACACTGCATGTAGAGATTTGTGGATCAAATACCCTTGACTTAGACTGTGGTCTTGAGCAAGCCATAGCCCATTTCTTTTTTTTTTGGAGACGGAGTCTCACTTCGTTGCCAGGTTGGAGTGCAGTGGTGTGATCTCGGCTCACTGCAACCTCCGCCTCCTGGCTTCAAGCGATCCTCCTGCCTCAATCTCCCGAGTAGCTGGGACTACAGGCGCCTGCCACCACGCCTGGCTAATTTTTGTATTTTTAGTACAGACGGGGTTTCACCATGTTGGCCAGGATGATCTTGATCTTCTGACCTGGTGATCTGCCTGCCTCAGCCTCCCAAAGTGTTGGGATTACGGGCGTAAACCACCGCGCCCGGCCTTTTTTTTTTTCTAAGACAGAGTCTTACTCTGTTGCCCAGGCTGGAGTGCAGTGCTGCAATCTCGGCTCACTGCAACCTCTGCCTCCTGGGTTCAAGTGATTCTCATGTCTCACCCACCCAAGTAGCTATAGATACCCACCAACATGCCTGGCTAATTTCTGTATTTTCAGTAGAGATGGGGTTTGCACTCTTGGCCAGGCTGGTCTTGAACTCCTGGCCTCAAGTGATCCACCCACCTTGGCCTCCCAAAATGTTGAGATTACAGGTGTAAGCCACCATAGTCCATTTTTGGGCTTCAGTTTCCCCAGCTACATAGTGTGAAGGTGGAGGTGATGTGTGAGAGTCCCTTCTCAGAAAACCTAGAATTTCAGATGTCCAGCGGGGGACTCATTCAGCTAGACAGAGTCTTAGGCTATGCCCCTCTCAGGTGGCCACTGCCCCCCTCAGATTATCCCTCCATTCAAATACCTCACTCCTCCAGGAGAAGCTGGCTGGAGGCGCTAGGGAAGAGGCGGGAGAAATTCACATTTGGGTGACTGCCACCTCCATGCTGGTGGGACACCGGGTGGGGAAGAGCAAGGGCTCTGGATTCAGGTGCCTGCTCTGCCACTTACCTCACTTAACTTATGCATCTTGAGCCTCAAGTTGCTTCATCTGTTAAATGGGAATGACCGATTATATTATAAAGTTTCACCCAGGGAATATAAGAGGTTTAGCTGACTGCCTGGCACATAGTGTTTGATAAGTGGTAGTTGTTACTGCTAACATTGCCAACAACCCTGCAAGGAACAGGCTGTTGCCTTCATTACAGATGAAGAAACCAAGGTATAGAGAGGTCA